GTCCCCTTTTTCATCATACCTAAAAACTCTTAGATAATTAATTCATCCATCCTGCAAAATGAAAACACAACCATAAGTCGCACCCTAAACACTGTACAATATCTGATAAATTTGCTACATGATGTACAAAAAGGTATGACTCATTTATGCATGAATTTGGTGTATTTGAGATGCGTTTAAAAATGTATTTATGAATTCTAAAAGTAGTTTTGAATTTCCGAATTTTAAATGTAGTATTGGTTTTTCACTAGGGTGGAAATACAATTTCTAATTAAAAAGTGGGAATTTCTTTTCCCACCCTTATGGTGTAGGACGCACCTCTGAAAATCCAAAATACCCTTGGGTTTATTCAGAGATATATCTCTGAACACACTAAATTCCATTTTTTGCCAAAATTTTGTCTGGAGATGCAATTGCAAAATTTTCTAAGGTTAATTCGCAGATACATCTCCAAACATACACCTGAAGCCATTTCACAATAGTTTTATTTAGATGATTTATCATTTAACCACTTAGTGATATTTTCAGAGATTTATCTCCGAAAATCTCCAGTTGGAAATTGAATATATGACCACCTTGCATGATCATCTCTCTCACACTTCAAACTTCCTCCATAACCAAAAACCCTTAAAAAATTTCATTTTCAACCAACTTTTCGATTCCAAATGGATATTCTATGATTTTATCACATCAAAGGGAGCAAAAGAAGCTGTAATTTAAGGTAGAGTTCACTCATTTCATTCCTTATTGTTTGCATTATTTTTGTTTTTGAGTTGTAAAATGTGCGTCATGTCCGGATATACATATCTGAACTCACATGCCATAATTTCAGATATGTATATCCAAAGTTTTCTATTACTGCTTTAAAGCATTTTTATGTTTTGGTTCTTAATAGATAATGGTGCACCCAAATATATTTCTCAAAGTTGATGTAAGTAATGATACAAAACCAGATGTAATGAAGGATGCTGTTAAACCAAATGAAGTAAAACACGATGTTAATCTGGATGAAGTGAATGATGATGTTAAACTGGTTCATGTCGAGATAGATGTTGGTCAACGTTTCAAAAATGAACAATTGTTTACTACTCGTGAACATATGCTTCAATGGGTCCCCATGGTAGCCAAGGATTTGGGATTTTGCATTATAATGAAAAGGCCAGACAATGGGTTAAAAAGAAGACAACCATTTGAAACCATGAGATGCGAGATAAGTGACACATATGTTCCTCCGATTCAGAAGTTGAAACATGATGACACCAGAACGAGAAAATGTGATTGTCCATTCAAATTATGGGATATTATAAGGTGGATGAAATATGGAAATTTAATGTGATTTATGGAATACATAACCATGCCTTGCAAATATAGCCATCCGATCATCCCATCGTATTCCGCCTTAAACCAGAGGAAAAGAAAATTGTTTCAAAAATGTCTTTAATGAGTGGCGCTGAAAAACATATTTGCAGATTTGAAATAGAAATAATAAAAAATTGTTTCAAATATCAAGCAGGTATACAATGCGCGTTATCGAAACAACACGACGGTAAGGGGTCCAAGATCCAAAATGCAATAACTTTTGAAACTTTCGGATGAAAACCACTATGTTTCTAGGTACACAATTTATGTAGAGGATGGAAGAGTTCACCAAATTGAGTGAGCTTGAAAAAGAATCAAATAAGAAAAAATCGAAGGCGAAATTAATTGTAGATTTATGCAGTGATGTATCTTTTGATGCATTTTAGATTTAAATCGATACACTTTTTTTAATGTGTTAACATCAATGATGTAATCTTGATAGGATTTAATATATAAGTAATATATAACCTCAACAATGATGGTGTAATTCTTGATTACAAATTTCATGGTATTGTATGTGCTTGTATACTAAGTTTATGGTTTGATTTTTGGTTCATGTATGTTTTCGGATCTACATATTTGAATAAACCTCACATATTTTAAAAAAAAACCAATCAGTGGCATTTTCGGATATTCATCTTCAAAGTCAGCCTTTTAGTAAAACAATTGTGGCATATTTGGAGATACATATCTGAAAAGTTACCTGATAACATGATAAAGTTTCTGAGATCTATAGTGATCCAATATTTGTATAAATAAGGTATCTCTCAACCTATTTTTTCTACACAACACACTAAAACCAAAGAACGAATGCATATCCCCGTCTTGCATTTGTGTATTTCAATGGCGAGAAGCCGCCACTTCCATTTAGGATTACCGAGGAAACATCCCTCGCAGATCTGATATCCAAACAGAATACTCTCATGCACTTTCCAAAAAATCGTAGAGTTCTCAAGCTCGAGTATTGTTCATCCTCATTTGACAACGAAGGTAAGATACATTTCACAAACTTTGAACTAAAGGCAGATGGAGATTTAAAGGTTATGTGGAGTATTTTTCAACTTTATGAATCAAAGGATCGGATTGAAGTAGATGCGAGGATTCAAAGATCCCTCGAGGATATAATCATTTTGTTGCAACGTCCCGTTAATAACAATATGTAATGTTGAATTTATTTTAATGACTATCTATGTAATGTTAAGTGTTTTAATTTAATATCAAGTTGGTGTTGGTGTTGGTTTGATTTTCAATTTGGTCATACTGTCATGTTTCTGGTTTTTGTTTGATTTGTAGTAACAAGCTATTTTCGGATATACATCTCCAAAATATACCTTCGCAGATGCATCTCTGAATTTAATTTAGGTAAAATGAAGAAATGGGGGCGTTCGGAAATATATCTTTGAAAATTTGGGGCATTTTTGACATTTCGTCCGAGGCATGTGAGAATGTAATATGGTATAAAAAGAAATTCCCTTAAAAAGTTAAGGATTTACCTGCCACCCCACAAATTAAACCTGACACCTTCCCCATTTCTCATAATGGCAAAAATGCCCCTAATAAAATAAATAAATTAGCCGAACAAAATTTTTGGTAGTTTATTCAAAATTTCCGAAAACATGAATTTTGAAAATTTTGATAAAAATTACATGTCATGTTTCTGGTTTTTGTTTGATTTGTAGTAACAAGCTATTTTCGGATATACATCTCCAAAATATACCTTCGCAAATGCATCTCTGAATTTAATTTAGGTAAAATGAAGAAATGAGGCGTTCGGAAATGTATCTTTGAAAATTTGGGGCATTTTGACATTTCGTCTGAGGCCTGTGAGAATGTAATATGGTATAAAAAGAAATTCCCTTAAAAAGTTAAGGATTTACCTGCCACCCCACAAATTGAACCTGACACCTTCTCCATTTCTCATAATGGCAAAAATGCCCCTAATATAAAAAATAAATTAGCCGAACAAAATTTCCGGAAACATGAATTTTGAAAATTTTGATAAAAATTACAAGAGTTTTTACCGAAAATTTTGAAATTTCCGTTAAAAACTCATGGAAATTTCAAAAAAAAAATTGGTATTTTTTTCAAAATTTCCGGTATAGTTTTGAAATTTTTGGTAAAAACTCATGGAAATTTTGAAATTTCTGGTATAGTTTTGTAATATCGGGTAAGAAACTCATGGAAATTTCTAGTACCCCTAAAATTTTCGATAAAACTCATATTTTTGAAATTTGGTAACTTTAAACAAGAGTATAATGATAAAAGCATGTAAAATGGGGGATGTCTGGTATAAGCGAGGGGGTGACAAGTTAAATCCTCTAAAAAGTTATAGCCTATATCCAACTTAAGTCGAAAATTTTACTTTGTACCCCTAAAATTAGACTTGTACCCCTATAATTTTCAAAAATGTCAGTTTTATCCTTCAATATTTTTAACTAATTTACCATTTCACTTTTTACTATTTATCAAAAAAATTTGAATTTCGCACTCCTACGTCTGTGTTTCGGAACACTTAAAGAAAGTCTTCTGGTATGTATTGTAACAAACCGAAACACGTTTTGAAAGTATTCCGGTTTTAAAAAATTGTTAAATGAGTTTCAGCAACGGTTAAAAACCGTGGCCTTAAGTAACAAAAGTGTTATTATTATTTTTTTAAATTATCATACCGGAACACTTATTGAAAGTGTTCCGATAGAGTGTATTATTAAGATATCAGAATACTTTTTGAAATTCTTCCGATTAAGTGTATTATTAAGATACCGACACTTTTTGAAAGTGTTACAATTAAAAAATTGCTAAATAGATTTCAGCAAAGGTTCAAAACCGTGGCTTATAGTAACGAAATTTGTTTTTTTTTTTTAATTATCATATCGGAATACTTATAGAAAGTTTTCTGATTGTCTGTGTTATTAAATATCAGAATACTTTTGGAAAGTATTCCGATTTAAAAACTAACTAAATGAGTTTCAGCAATGATTAGAAAGCGTTCTCTATTTACTTTAGGCCACGATTTTAAACTGCTGCCAAAACTAATTTAGTAAATTACACTTTCCGGTTTTTATAACATACTCAACCGAAACATTTTTAAAAAATGTTTCGATATGATTTTTTTTTTAATTTTGAAAGATATCTAATCAGAACATTTCTAAAAAGTGTTCCGGTATGAACTTCTTTACCAAATCACTTTTAAAAGATGTTCTGGTATGACAATTTATTTACCGAAATACTTTCAAAAAGTGTTTCGATATATATTTTTTTAAAATCGAATGACTTTGAAAATATACTCCGACTTATATATTTTTGCATGTCCCGATAAATTTTCTGAAATGTGAGAAAAAATGAAAATTTTAATATAAACTATTTATATAAGAATATTTAGGTCCATATTTTTTCGCATAGGAATATGACTATAATTGTAGGAGTAGGAGTAGGAGGTAAAATTTTCATTTAAGTCGGGCTTGGCCCAAATGAAAAGCCCGTATAAAAGACCACAAACGAAATGACCACCCAGCAGTTGCACCAACAACACTCGTCTCTTCTCTCTCTCTCTTTCTCTCTCTATAAACTCCAAGACTCACCAAGAAAGAGAACAACAGAATTACAGTGAGAGAATCATCGCCACCGTGTGTTTTATCCCCTCGATGCGCATGCGGTGGTTCCTCTCAAACCCTATCAAAACCCTTCCGAATATCAACAACCTCCGTTCAATCTCATTTCGAACTTTCGTTCCTCACTCGCTCTCTTTCCGTTCAAGATCGTTGTTTACAATCCAAATCCCAATGGCAGCTATCCATAACCTTAGCGAAATTGGACTTGCGAAGCGTTTCTGGATCAAGTTCAACCGTGAATCAATCTTTGCTCTGTTCACTCCTTTTGTCATCTCTTTAGCCTCCGGTAACCTCAAGACCGATTCCTTCCGTCATTACATCGCACAAGATGTTCATTTTCTTCGTTCTTTTGCTAAAGCGTAATTCTCTTTCATATACTTTTCTTGTTTTGGTTGCCGTGAAAGATTACAAAAGAACATTGATAGTTAGATGAAATATATAAATGGTGTTTGATTTTTATTCTTGATCTCTGTAGACAACTATATAGATATGTTAGAATCAGTGTTGTTATTGTTCTGAGATACCCTATTAGTACAAGATATGGTCAAATTGTGGCTATAGTGGCGCTATAGATGTTGCTTATCTGAATTTGAACACTGATTAGGATATCTTTGTTGTCTTGATTGGTGGAAATGAATTTATCTCTCAAATGGATTGATGTGATTTTTAAGTAAGTGCAATTGAATGAGGATTTTGGAAATGAGTGCAACTAAAAGATCATGCATATGAAATTTTATTTTATGTCAGAGATACTCTATTTAGTAGTACAAGATATGCTCAAATCACGGCTATAGATACTGCCTAGCGAAATTTTAACGGATTTCTATTATCTGCTATCCACGATTGACAAAACACTAAATATATATGTTTGTTTTCTTGGTTGGTGGAAGTGAATTGATCTCTCGACTAGATTCATGTGATTTTAAAGTAAGTGCAACTGAACTTGGGGATTTTGGAAATGAATGCAACTAAAAGTTCATGAGTATGAAATTTTATTTTATGTCTGAGATACTCTATTTAGTAGTACAAGATATGGTTAAATCACGGCTATAGATACTGCCTAGCGAAATTTTAACCGATTTCTATTATCTGCTATCCACGATTGACAACACACTAAATATATATGTATGTTTTCTTGGTTGGTGGAAGTGAATTGATCTCTCGACTAGATTCATGTGATTTTAAAGTAAGTGCAACTGAACTTGGGGATTTTGCAAATGAATGCAACTAAAAGTTCATGAGTATAAAATTTTATTTTATGTCTGAGATACTCTATTTAGTACAAGATATGGTCAAATCGCGGCTATAGTTACTGCCTAGCGAAATTTTAACCGACTTCTATTTTCTGCTATCCGCGATTGACAAAACACTAAATAGAATATGTTTGTTTTCTTGGTTGGTGGAAGTGAATTGATCTCTCAACTAGATTCATGTGATTTTAAAATAAATGCAACTGAACTTGGGGATTTTTGAAATGAATGCAACTAAAAGTTCATGAGTATGAAATTTTATTTTATGTCTGCGCCTCCTGTTTGTCAATTTTCTTAGCTACCAAAACTGGAGAGTTTGATTATTTGGTGAAATTGTATGTGTACATTGATTGAGGTGAGTTTCGGTCTTTAAAATATAGAAGACCAGGCAAGACCTATCCCCTCTCCTTTTTTTAAGAGAAGATGAAACTAGTAAAAGGTTATGGTAAGTAAGTTGACTGTTTAAGTTTATTCCTTGAATTTTTATGATTTCATAGGTATGAGTTGGCGCAAGAGTGTGCTGACGATGATGATGATAAGCTTGGACTTTCTCAGTTGAGGAAGGAAGTCTTAGAGGAGCTGAAGTTGCACGACTCTCTGGTAAAGGTAAGACGTTTTTCTTGGTAACATGGGCCTGAATTGGGCCAGGGTTTTTCATCCTGCGCATTATAATTCTACCACTTTTGTTTGTGAATTGTGACTTGAGTTATGAAGTACTCCCTCTGGCCATTATTATAAGCAAATATTCTCTTTTTAGGTTCATTGAATAATGAATGTATCTGGTCTTTTATGTAGACCAGATACATTCGTTACTCAATGAACCTAAAAAGAGAATCTTTGCTTATAAATAAGGCCAGAGGGAGTATTATTCAAGGGAAGAAGACTATTGTCATAACTTTCAACCTGTGAATAGGACAGGTCCCAATTAATATTTAAGGATTGTGTACTATGGTAAATAAGATAAATTGTTTGCTAAATGCTGATTGGAATCCTTTTCGATTTTTGAAAAACTTGGAACAATTTTTATGCATTATAGTGAAGATTTATGTGGTTGGAGGAGTATAAGGCTGAGGGACATCGATTCAAGTGGAACAATGAAAGAGTACTAACATTTATTTATCAAGAGGAAAATTGGGTTTTGCTTAAATCCCTTATGCGCTGTTTAGTGTTGATTTCTTGTTTAAGATGAAGTCAACATTTTAATTTTTAATAAACAAAATGTGTCATCTAATGCTTGATTCATGAAAATTTCAAACAACACTATATGATTGTATTTTTCTCTCCATTTTCCACCCATACAGACTATATAATTGTGGTTTTTATGCTAATGGTGTATAGGAATGGGGACTGGACCTTGCCAAAGAGCATGGTATTAGCTCTGCAACAGTTAAGTATACAGATTTCCTGTTGGCTACTGCCTCTGGAAAGATCGAAGGATTGAAAAGTTCTGGGAAACTTGCAACACCATTTGAGAAAACCAAAATTGCTGCTTATACTTTAGGTGCCATGAGTCCTTGCATGAGGCTTTATGCCTTTCTTGGTGAAAAGATCAAGGAACTTCCACACTCCAACGAAAGTACTCACCCATATAGCAAATGGATTGACAATTATTCCTCTGATGGTTTCCAGGTTTGTTACATTGACTGTAGAACCATACTGTATAGCCTTTGTGGTTGCTTGGATACTATTTTGAATCTTGGTCAAATATACATTTATTTAGTTTTGTGCCGCATCTACTCAGTTATTCTTATATTTGAATTTAGGCATCTGCTTTGCAAACCGAAGATTTGCTTGACAAACTAAGTATCTCTTTGACTGGTGAAGAACTCGACGTCATTGAAAAGCTTTATTATCAGGCAATGAAGCTTGAAATAGACTTCTTCACTGCTCAACCACTCTTTCAGCCAACTATAGTCCCATTGACTAAAGGACATAACCCTGAAGAAGACCATCTCATGATTTTTTCCGATTTTGATTTAACATGCACCGTTGTTGATTCATCTGCCATTTTGGCAGAAATTGCTATAGTGACAGCTCCAAAATCTGACAATCAGCCGGAAGATCAAACAGCTCGAATGTTGTCTTCTGACCTCAGAAATACATGGGGTTTACTATCCAAACAGTATACAGAAGAGTATGAGCAATGTATCGAAAGCATTATGCCAACTGATAGATGTATGATGTTTTTCTTTATTGTCTCTACTATGGTCTTAACTGCTTTAGGAAGAATGTGTATTTTGCTTAGATTTTATTAATTTTCTTTTACCTTGTGTGATTTGTAGTGGAAAATTTTGATTATAAAGGACTGTCTACGGCACTTGAGCAACTCTCAAAATTTGAGAACTCGGCAAATAATAGGGTTATCGAGTCACGGGTTCTCAAGGGTATAAATATAGAAGATATAAAGCGTGCTGGAGAGCGTTTGATCCTACAAGATGGTTGCACTGACTTTTTTAAGAAAGTTGTTAAGAATGAAAATTTGAATGCCAATGTGCATGTTCTTTCATACTGCTGGTGCGGTGACCTCATTAGGTCTGCTTTCTCTGCAGGTACATATTCCTTACCATGTGTTTTGATTTATTTCTCTCCGATGGTACTATATTATAAATATTTATTTTTAACTTTAGCCTGTAGAATCAAATAATAGGATAGTTGATCTGAGACAGTTGTGTCCTTTTTGCACTCTTGGAGTCATTCTAATCTTGGCGGGTCTATTAAAAACCTGTTTGGGGCTTGGATTAACTGTGAACACGTGTCTCCTTTCACCTCAGAGCTTTCTATATGATGTTTTTTGAAGTTCTGGTAGGAACAAGGCAGCTAATTTTGATGCGACCTTATTTTGAGTTTTTAATCCATAAATTTGTCATCAAGATGAGTGACTTTGCCTCTTTGTGACTTTGGTAACTTTCTCTCTATCTCATTCTAAATCAATCATCCTCCCAATAAATAATTTATTTTAGTTCACTCATTTACTAAAAACACTGAAGTCACATAAATAGTAAAGTCACTCAATCCTCTCCCTCTTTTAACTTGTTTCTACTCTACCAATGGTTGTTATAATGGGGTTTTAAGTCACTGTGATGCAAAGAAATTGGGAACTTAGTTTTTAAATTTGAGCCATCATGAGTTCTCCATTCATGTTTATCTTGCTTTTTTTGAGTTATATTCTTGGAGCATATTCTGTGATTCTTGGAGCATATTCTGTGATTTTCTGTTGGAGTAATTGTTCCTTTATTTCCTAGCTTAGTTGGTCAAATCCTTGTTAATTGATGATATTTTAGTTTTCTGTTGTCTTATAATAATTTTTTTTGGCCAGCTGATTTAAATGAGATGGATGTTCATGCTAATGAGTTCTGTTATGAGGGTTCTGTTTCCACCGGAGATATTGTTAAGAAAGTGGAGTCTCCCATTGACAAGGTCCAAGCTTTTCGTAATATATTGAAAAGTTGCAACAGTGACAAGAAGAAATTTACCATTTACATTGGAGATTCGGTGGGTGATCTACTTAGTCTACTTGAAGCAGATGTAGGAATTGTGGTTGGTTCAAGCTCAAGCCTTAGGACAATAGGGACACAGTTTGGTGTTTCATTTGTCCCGTTGTTTTCTGGCTTGGTTAAGAAACAGAAAGAATATAATGAAGGAAGCTCCTCCAATTGGAAGGGTTTATCTGGCATTCTTTACACAGTCTCTAGTTGGGCTGAAGTGCATGCTTTTATTTTGGGTTGCTAGTGTTATTTTGTCTCATGCACCCAAATTCATGCTAGGTTAAAAGAAAGAAACATATATACGTGCAATACAAATACACAAGCAGGTGGCTAATTTTATAAGTGGCCACAGATTTTCTGCTGTCTCTCTTATTTCTCTTTTAGGATGTTGCAATTCAGAGATATGGTGCTGTTCTGATTTCCTGGAATTTTCTCTAGTGCTTCTTTGATGCATCTGGTTGCAAGTTATTGTTGATATCACCTTTCTCCTTAAATCTTGTCAGGAATGAGAAATTTCAGACAGCAATCTTTCAAATGCTTGTTAGATCAGGACACAATTCAGACTTTGAAGTGTTGTACGGGTAATTAGTAGCCTACTGCTGTTCCATAATTTTAAGGATTCAGCAGAAAGATCCTGTGTATTTTAGTTGACTCCTTGAAATGCTTATGCATAAATGTTCATTTTTTTGGGTACACTTTTCATTCTTTTTAAATGATTTCTGACAGCTTTATTAGTATAAATCAATGGTACTAATTAATTCCAGTAGATTGGGGGCTTTTTTAGACATGTTAAAGTTTCCTCTCCCCTTACCGATTTATAAGTAAATTTGATTTTTTTAGTATATTTTGACAATTAAAGTATCTAGTCTATATATGGACTAAATATATTAATTGTCATATGTATTAAGAAAATTAAATTTGCTTATAAATCGTTACGGAGGAAGTAAGACGGCTGAGGGACTTTCATGCATGTTTCGAACTCTTAGGAACATTAAAAAGTCAATCATGATTATAGGCTACCAATAGAAAATAATGGAATGGTATAAATGAATCAAAATGATAGAATGTGCAATAAAAATTATAAGTTCATTAAATTTCAACAAATTAGTGTTTGCTGAATAAATGTGTTTTTTTTTATGGTAGCAGAATAAATGTGTTTTTTATTATGATAGTGTGTTAGTATACTTATATAGACTTAGCGAATTATATCATTTTTTATTAATTTTAATGACAAGCTTTTCATTTATATTTTGTCTCCTCTTAGATTTTATCTCTCTCTACATGTATATACTTGAACAAAAATTATTTTTCTCTCTTAAAATGTAAAAGAACACAATCATAGTTATATAGATATTATGAAAAAGGTGATAGATTATTATATAGCTTATTCAATTCAAATTAGTGTGGACTATCTGTCTCTGTTCTATATTATAAGAGAAATCTATTTTTTAAATTTGTTAAATAATTAATGTATCTGATCTTATTCAATGAGTTTAAAACGTAAATTTCTCTTATAATATAAAAGAGAGAGAGTATAATAAATTTTGAAATGATTTTGAGTTGTTTGGATCGGATAAACTTGATTTTAATTAGAGTTAAAACTTCCTTTTCAACTGTATGAAGTTAACCAGAACCTTATTTAGTTGCTTGTTTGAATGACAAGCATCAGCATGCAGTGTGTGATATAGCATCCATCTCCTTAACTATTTGCGATAGGAGAGAAAATGAACGGTAATCCTAGATTCCACATATGACTTTTTTTTAATTAAAAAATAAAAATTATTACACAGTCAGCAATGTCTTTCATGTCCTTGAGTGAAGTAGGAAGATTCTTTATGAAACAGTGATCCAGAGTTTATGGTGAGAGAATATTGATTTGTTAAGAAGGATCATAAAAAAATATTAGGAAAACATAATTAAATTTCACTAATTTAAGAGGGAGACTTAATATAATTTTTAACGAGGGATATGATATAATTAACTCTATAATCAACTCCGATGTGCTTAATTTAGAGGGAAGAAAACTATGCATAAATGATTTAGGCTAAAGTTTTTGCTGAAAGTAAAATCGACAAATAATTCTAGGGTTATTACTATTTTACCTGTGATTTCTGGTTTACTCTCTAAATTTTTTTGTGTAAAACCAACATTTTCCAATCACATTCTAGATAATTTAAAATGATAGATCTTTAAGTTTATAAGATTTAAAACGATAAAATTTTTAAGTGGTACGATTTATTTTAAAAATAAATTTCTTATAAGGTTTAAAGCGACATATTTTCAAATGGTAAGATTAACTTTATAAATTTTTTTTATAGAAAATAAACAAAACAATCACTTATATAACATAAATAAAATGATATTAACCTATAATTCTATTAAAAAGTATAGTTGAATCTAATTCAAATTTACAAAACCGGTCTATATTACCTGTCCACTTATTAAAAACTGTCCACTTATTAAAAATAGTTCAAACTATATTTATCATTTATTATATATTATCTTATGCAAAACTCTTAAAAAATCCATAACTTTTATAGCTGTATATTTAATAATCATTGATAATGATACATGTATTATTGTCCGTACAGTTTTTTGTTATAGTATGTATATCGTAGGGTTGGACATTAGTAGGGTTGGATAAGATTTAGATTTAATATGTTAAATCATTTGAAATCATTGATGAAACTCTTAGGCTCAATTCTGACTGAATTTTTAATCGGTTTAATCAAATTCGGTTTAATTAATTTAATCGGATTCAATTTAATTAGAAAGCATATTTATTATTTATATATATATATCATGTATTTGTTATCATCAAAACTATTACTAAGATGTAGAACCAAACTATGTTCTATCGGATGTTAGGAGCCAAACTGGTGAGAAAGATTCTTTGATCTCTTCCAAAGAGGTTTAACATGATGGTGTCTGCCATTGAAGAAGCTCAAGACATAAACAACATGAAGGTTGATGAGTTTATGGGATCCCTACAAAATTTTGAGTTAGGGATCAGTGTGAAATCTGAAAAGAAGAAGAGCATAGCCTTTGTCTCCAATACTGATGATCTAAAATATAAGTGTGACTTGGATACAGAAGAAGAGATTTCCAATTCTATTGTGTTACTTGGAAAACAATTCAACAAAGTGTTGAAGAAGGTTGACTGGAAATCAAGATTAAATGTCAAGAACAAGTCATTTGACAAGTCATTCGACATCAGCATGTTAGTTTAGCCTAAAAATAGTCGTAGCAAAATTGATTGAAAAACAAAAACTAATAACCCTGGTTAGATAATTAGACCCATGCGAATTCAATGAGCATGTTAGTTTAGCCTAAAAATAGTCGTAGCTGGGGTTTCGAAGAAACCCGATCTCGATGCCCTAGCCATGGTGAATTCTTGTTCCTGCACTAAGCCTTACAACATGTGATTCTAAACATGATTATGAGCAAATATATATGCATAAAACTCATTTAAATTGCATGGTTTACTAATTTGACATTGAAGAATATGAACAAACCGGCGCTGTTGAGTTGGAGGATTCTGATGTGTTATGGAAGGCTCAAAACTGGTTGAAACTCGTTGGATAATATGGTATACTTGTGCCCTAGTTTCCTTAAAATATTAGAGAGTTTTAGGGTTGGTGTTTGAAGCTTCTACCCCTCAGTTTGTGCATGAAGTTGCTGAGCATATATAGAGTATATTAGGTTAAAAAATTTCGTGGGCTTGGACCTCATAATTTAATGGATACTTTATTTAATTTATTTTGATTTAAATGAAATAAAATCATAATAAAAGAAATAAAAGTCAGAAAAAAATATGTGGATAGACTTAGAGGTTCTCTAATGTGTTATGAACATGTTTGGACCTGAAACTTCAGGCATAATAACCCAAAATTACAAATTTGCTTAATTTAGGTTTCATGCATTTTCTAAAAATTGCCCAACTTGCACCAATCATAACTCTCTTAATTTTTATCATTTGAAGGTGATTTTGGACTTTTGACTTTTGATGAATCTTGAGTTTTCTTGATGAGTCATGATCAACCCTTGATTAAATGATGAATATGACTTAAAATCTTGATTTTGACCAAAAATCTTGAAGTTTGACTGTATGTTGACCATAATTGACTTTGTCCAATACAATTGATTTTTATCCATCTCAGCAATTGACTGAGCAAACTTGTGCTACAAGGCTTAAAATTTGGCATGAGCATTCCTTGAGACATATGAGAAACCATGAAATTCACTTGAGGCATATTAAGCTCAAATTTTCTTGAGAAAAGTGAAACCTTAGTTGTAGGTCAACTACTTAGGAGAGGAATTTGTCTAATCAAACCTTAAATATCCTTGAGCAATTGAAAACCCTAGGAGCATAAAGGATACACCTTGAAGAAAATGAGAGGGAAAATTTTGGGGTACAACAGCTTCCCCTGTTAAATCTTCTTAAACCTAAAGAGTTAGATTGACACGTCCGTCATTCGTGATCTGAAGGTGGAAGAGGATTGAGCACTTTAAGTGCCCAGAAATTTGCACTCGCTGGTGCATGAAGTAACGCTATTGGTTTATAGTATTTCTTGAATGGGCTTAAAGATGCCATTAGGAGAAATGATAGAATGCCGCTGGGGATGGGCTTAGAGATGTCATCCGAAGTAACTATTGATAAGAGTATCAGAATGAGTCCATGCTTGACTTGATCTGATGGAATGAAAATTTCTGAAGAAGAATGCTTTTCAAAATGAAGGCCTTGGAGGAGATGCTTTCCAGAATTCAGTCTCTGAAGGGAGATTTCAGAATTCAGTCTCTGAGGGAAATCATTTGGTCATGCAGATAGTCGCCCGTCTTGTTTCGGGAATTAATCTGTAATCTGTTCTCCATTGGTAAACCCATCCTGTTTCGGGAATTCATACCACCTGGTCATATAGATAGTTGCCCCGTCCTATTTCAGGAATTAATCTCTGACCCACTTTTGTGATTGTAAACCCGTCCTGTTTCGGGAATTCATACCGCTTGGTCGTATAGATAGTTGTCCCATCTTGTTTCAGGAATTATCTCTTACCCGCTTTTTGGTAAACTAATCCTGTTTCAGGAATTCATACCGTTTGATTGTATAGATAGTTGCTCCGTCTTGTTTCGAGAATTAATCTTTGACATGTTTGATAATTGTTGATGATATTCGTCTGTTTGCGAACTTTACCTGAAAAGACAAAATTAGCTTTACGTAATGTCGTGATGCATGTAATGCATCAA